GCACACAAATAGACAGAAGAAAATAAAATGGAAAATTCAAAATACTTATGGAAAATAATATATGACCAAGGTAGCATCTCAAGCTGCTGAGGTAAAGACAGACTTTGTAAATAAACGGTGCTGGGACAACTGGGTAGAATTTCTCTTTAAATCTGGTTAGGAAAAGGCTTCCTAACTATGACTCAAAGTCCTGAGAGAATAAAAGAAAAGACTGATATTTTATTTGACTAGATAAAAACAACCTTTGCATAATTAAAAAAGAGAACACAGAATTAAAAGTGATAGAAGTGATGTTTGCAACATACAACAGATATATGAAAAAGTTTTAAAACGAGACAGAAAAACAAAGACATAAACAGACAATTCGCACACACACAAAAGGAGACAAAATATATTTCATAAATACGAAAAAAGAAAATGCTCAAACTCACTTATTGCTAGCAAAATAAAGTAAAACAACACTGAGATACTATTTCACCTATCAGACTGGCAAAATTTTAAAAATAAGACACAGTCTGTTGGGAAAACAGGAAGTCTCATATGTTGTTGGAGGAAATGCAAACTGGTATGTTTTCTGAAGGGAAATTGCATATACCTGAACCTTTCAACACAGCATTCCCTCTCTTATGAACCCAATGTGAAGATACACATCTAACAGTAAGGAAATACATGTGCACAAGCATATTCATTGCAGCATCATTCATGATTGAACCATCCTGGAAACAACGGAAATGCCCATACACAAGGGCCCAGTTGAATCAACGATGGTCCATGACACAATGAAGTACTAAGCAGCTTTAATAAAGAACGAAGAAGTTCTCTGTGTGCTGATATGGAACAATTTCCAGAACATAACGCTAAGTGAATAAAGCAAAGTGTAAGAGTATCTGTAGCATGCTACCCTTCAGATAAGAAAAAAAGAGGTAAGTCCTGGACGTTCGGCTCAGCAGTTAGAGCGTTGGCCCACAAACTAAAGAGTCATGGGTTTGATTCCGGTCAAGGGCATGTACCTCGGTTGCGGTTCGACCCCAGCCCTGGTCAGGGTCATGAGGGAGGCAGCCAGTCAATGCGTCTCTCTCACATTGATGTTTCTTCCTCTTCCTCTCTCTCTCTCTCTCTCTCTCTCCCTCCCTCCCTCCCTCTCCCTCTCCCTCTCCCTCTCCCCCTCCCACTCTGTCTGAAGATAAATAGAAAAATATCCTTGGGTGAGGATTAAAAAAAAAAAGAAAGAAAAAAAGAAGAGGTTATAAGAAAACAGATGTGTATTTGTTCATTTGGGGAAATAAAATGCAAAAAGAATACATTAAGAAGTAAAGAGATCAGTTTACCTATAGCAGGTGGGTGAGAAAGAAGTGGGGACTGGGAACATGACAGCAGAGTTGGAGACCATATGTTTGTATAACTCTGACCCTTAGAACCATAGCAATAGTCCACATATCCTTGCATACCCAAAAAATAAACAAACAGTCCAAATCAACCAGGAGTGACCAAAAACAAAATGTAAAGTCTAACAAATGAACTTAACTATATCACAAATAAATAGCACAACTACCCTTAGGAAGGTACATAAGAACAGAACTCACATATATAAGCAACTTTGGAAAACAGTATCTTGCCCACACACTATAAGACTAAAGATAAAAATTTAGTCAGTAAAGGTGCTTCTCACAGGGACATGGATTACAAAGTCTGAAACTAAGTTACGTGTATTCTAGAACTGAAGAAAAAGAAATATAAATATATTTCAAACAATAAGAACTGTGTTCTTCGCTGCTGAGGGGAAAAGTTACAAAGGAAAGAGGAAGGACAAAATGGGTCTTGTGGTGTTGGACTGGAAGCTTGCTTCCCCTCTCTGCCCTCAGCCATCTGAGGATACAGGAAGTTGGCAGTATATAAACCAGAAGAGGGCCCTCACCAGAACTCAAATATGCTGACACCCTGATCTTGGACCTCCAGCTTCCAGAACAGTGAGAAATAAATTTCTGTTGTTTGTAGGCCACCCAGTCTACAGTATTTTGTTATAGCACCCTGCATAAAATAAAACATTAGTGAAATTCACATAGGGTCTTTAGGTCAACGGTATTGTACTAATATTAATTTTCTGATTCTAATAACTGTACTACCATTATGTAAGATATTAACACTGAGAAAAATTGGGGGATATATAAAAACTCAATTCTTGTAAGTTTTCTGTGTCTAAAAGTAGCTCCAAATAAAAGAATTTTTAAAAGACCATGAGGGCAGAGAGAGAGTTGAGTGTCCCCAGTACTCATAGAGTCCTTCCCCATAGGTGGCTAAATGTGTGAAATGATGAATGAATAAGTAAGTAAATGACTGACAAGTTATGGTGTCTAATGAAATATTAAGCATGTATAGACAAAACAATAAAAATACTGTAGGTTGAAGTTATTTCACATATAAAAACAACAGTACATTAAAACCAGGGAATGAATCTTAAACTGCAAAACTAAGACCTCTGAAGGATCATGAAATTCCTTAAGAACCTGCAGGAGCGCCCTGGCCGGTTTGGCTCAGCAGTTAGAGCGTCGGCCTGCAGATCAGAGAGGCCCAGGTTTGGATCCTGCTAAGGTCACGTACCTCAGTTGCGGTTTGTCCCCAGCCCCCGGTTGGGGTTGTGTGGGTGGCATCCACTCGATGTGCCTCTCTCACATCGATGCCTCCCCCCCATCTGAGGATAAATGCAAAAATGTCCTCGGGTGAGGATTAAAAAAAAAAAAAAAAAAAGAACTTGCAGGAGCTAAAGGTATTTTGTAAATGCTAAGGGATGGTTGAGGAATTATACAAAGATGTAATTAATCTGTTCTAATCACTATATATATACGATCCTGGATGACCATAACAAAGTAAGGAGATAAATTAATTTGGGATGAAAAAAGGAAGATCAGAAGCCCTAAACAGCTAATTTAGCATTTCTTGGTCCTGGGTTTCCAGAAAATACACTCTAAAACATATTCCTATACTATCAATTCCTAGTAAGATGACAGTCTGTAACCTGGCCTATTTTAGGATAATTTTTCCCCTAGCAATTACTTGAAGTAGGAAGCAGATTATCAGAAAGTTGAAAAACAGCCTTCAAGCTGATGAAATGCTTATGCTCTCCTATGCTGCCCCCACCATCAGAACTAGAGAATTCACTGTTACAATGCACAGTAAACCTGAAAGCATTGCCCAGGTCACAGTTCAAAGTCCAGTCACAAAGCGATTACTCTAGATCCTTTGACCATCAGTAAAACATTATCCTTAGGGTAAAGAAGGTAACATAGCAAACAAACTGCAAGCTACAATTTTTTTTCATTCTCGGGAAAAGTTTACCTGCTCATTCTTGGAGCACCTAGAGATGGCTCCTTGAGCTAACTCTTCTCCCCATACCTGAAGTAGTCTGTGTAGCCAATCAATCCATCCAATAAGCCACAGAAAACTAAAATAAGTGGATGCTGAGTAACTGTAACTTCAATAACTCAATATAGAATTACATTTAATTTCACTTTTTTTCTTCCTTTTACACTTTTAAGAACCTAATTCAGATTCAATGAGCATAAGCACTACACATGCTATTAAGCATGAGACATTCTGTGAATAACTCTTATACACCTTATCTACTGAATACAGAACCAGATTTATCTATGAAGTCCTATAGGAAACCAATTCTAACCATGCATTCATTACTTCTTCCCCTATAGCAGGGTTTGGCAAACTCTGGCCCAATGCCTGCTTTTGTAGAACCCAAGAACTATGAATGACTTTTACATTTTTAAATGGAAAAAAAGAAATCAAAAGAAGAAGAATATACCTCCTGACATGTGGAAAATAATTGAAATTCAGATGTCAGTGTCCATAAATAAGGTTTTTTTGGAGCACGGCCACCTCACTCATGCTGCCTGTGGCTTTTGTGCTACAATGGCTGAGCTGAGTAGTTGCAACAGAGACCATATGAAAGATTATCTGCCCCAAAAGTTTGCCAAAACCTGCCTTATATTAAAAGTTGTACTAATTTGCCTTGAAATAATTGGCTTTAGCTATGCAGCTTTGCACAAGAGATTCCAGATGGTTTTACTGAATACCATCTGAGCAACATAATAGAGAAATTATTGTATCTCATTGTAGTTAAGCTTAAAAGCCAGCATATCCCTATAGCTGCTTTTGAAAAAAAACATACTCTTTAACAAAGTAGTTCTTCCATCACTTTATAATTTCCAGTGGGGAAAGTTATTACTTGCCTTACTTCCTCTATCACTTAAGAAGCCCAAAGTCTTCCACTTATATACAAAATATGCCAGAATATATTTGTATCCTTTTCTTGAAAGAGAAAAGAAAGAAAATAGCAGAGGAAAATAGCAGGGGCTCATGGTCACTTTTTGGCATAATTACCTAAGGTATTAAGAGTAATTTACATTGTTACTTGATTCTGTCTCAGAATAAAGTCTTCAGTATATTTCTCCCTACCCCAAGCTTTTTAGAAAATTTTTCATACATAAAACTGAAAGAATAGGTCAATGAAACTCCCACAAACTTTGCCTAGATTAATAATTACATGGGTAATTAATTACATGCTGCCATATTTGTTTCTTCCATTCCTTCACCTGTCCTTTCTAGTGGCAGTGACTGAATCTTTAGGAAATAATCTGCAGACCATTACAACACTTCACCCTAAATAATTTAGTAATCAATACCAGGATAATAATTTTAAGGAAATAAAGATTAAAAAAAAAAAACAAAACAACTATATAGGGGGTATAAAAAAATGAAACAAAAAAAAGAAATACAAATCCTCCCCCCCCAAACCCCTTCCCAATACATTAGTGAAAACACAAACAACCTCTAAAAACCCAATAATACACAGAGTGAAAATTGGAATGTTGGCGTCTGAACGCCACAGAAGTAATCTAATTTATCATGATTATCAAATGAGATCGGGATAGCTTAGCCTCCCAGCTGCATGACTTTTCCTTCACAGGCAAGACCATGCCTCTGGCACTTACCTAAGGGCAGCAGCATGGTAGGTATCTACATAATCAGAAATGAAGAGCTCTCGGTTCTTGATAACTGGGTCTGTAATGACAAGTTCTCTTCCAGAGTCTGTCAAAAAAAAATAACGATAATAATAATTCATTAAGAGGCTATTAAAATTGAGTTTCCCAAAACAATTCGGAAAATTTTGCAAAATTTTTCTTTCAGGGTCACCTCCCACTAACGAAATCACAATAAATAACCAGGCCTGATCAGCAAAACAGAGAAGAGGAATGATGTAGAGCAGGAATAACAGGAACAAATATTCTGCTGGGTGTGTTTTATACCCTTTAGTCCCCACAGTTTGCTGAAATGCATTAAGTAAAAAAAAAAATTCTTAAAAAGGAAAAAAGGGAAGATATAACTATCACATTTTAGCAACTTGTAAGTTACTAGTCATCCTGTCCATCTAACTAGTCCAGGATGGAGTGAAATCAGTTTCCATTGAAAAGAATAACCAGATTACTAGTTTTCATAACAAACCATACTTAAACTGCTTTAACAGAAAATTTTTTAACTTAAGAGGAGAAAAAAAATCAGTAAGATATAAAGGAATATCATTCTTCAAAACTATTTTTGATGACAGTTTGTTGAATTAAAACCTAACATCAAAAGCAGTGTGAAGAGTGAAGGGCAGACAGGGACAGAGGCCATCACTTAGAACATATATGGCCTTGGCAACTTCCTCAGCATCGATAAGCCTCAATTTTCTCATCTGGAAGTGGGGAGCAACATATAATTAATGGGTAACAAACATGAATCAGCTATCATGAGGCCTAACACATCTCAAAACAAAACAATCAATAAAAATGAGTTATACATCTGAACAAATGTAATATGCATTTTATATACATATCTCATGTGTCTATAAAGTTATTGGGTAGAAACTACAATGCCACAGGAGAAAAAACATTAAAAGATGCTTTGAACAACCTTCCTATTATTCTGAAAGTCAAGAGACAAGCCAAATCCCAAAACATTCAGAAAAGCTTTGTTTGAAAACTGAAGTTCAAAACCCTGAATAGAGAGATGTTCAATGACACAGACTGTTGAAAAAGAGAAAAGAAATAAAATACAATCTTGTAGGGTTTTAAGTATTATTAGTTCATTATTGGGTGAGAAAAATAAATAATGAAATTACTGTCATTTCCAAAAAAGACCTATCTCTATTCCAAATTTAAGAGGAAGATGCCATTAGTACATGCTCTGGTTGTTTCTTTTTTAAGGCAAAAATAATTAAAGAATTCAACAAAAAGTAAACATTTTAGTAATGTCCTTATTTCTAAAAGAAGCTATTTTAGAAAAGTGTTTTCATAGTAGTTATTTCCATTTAATGTTTCTTTAAAATGAACCTTGCCCAAAGCTAAGAAAGTATAAAAAGCGAACCAGAAGAGCATATTTACCATTTTCATTATGTCGATCCTGAACCAAATGCTGATACACAGAATCTGGAACTTCAGACTGACGGTAGTACCATTTGACGTTCATGAGTAGGTGGTCCCTCTTACTCTGAAAAGGAAAATCTAACAGCATTAGGAACAGGATTTCAGGTGCCCACAGCTGCATACCATACCCATGAACAGAAGCCCTGGAAACAGGTGGAGAGGCAGAGAGGGATACTCACAATTACCATCAGGACCACAAAATACAATTATGAGGTCAAATTTTATTTTTACTAAATTCCAGGCACAGCACCCCTCTGACTTGATCCCTCAAAGTTGCTCATTTTGGGAAAACAAAGGCGACCAAACGTGAATCTATAAATCTCTCCAGTTTGATTAATTCATTCAATGTTATATTTTTTTTTATTTGGTATTAACTACATAGTACTACATGAAAATATCCTCTTATCTTAAGTTTTAATAATTTTGGTAAATATTTATCAACTGTGTTATTTATAAATATTTACAAATACCGTGAAGCCATTTAGGGGAATAAGTTAGAAAGAAATTACCCAACAAGGCCTGGTACAGTCATCTCGCCAGGGTTTGCCAATCACCCAGACTGAGTTACATTCTCCCTCCATTTTACTGCCACTTACTTGCAGTTATTGCTACATGGCAGACTAACACAGCAAGCTGTGGGTGGTGATGAAGTTTCCGTAAGTCCATGGAATATGGACCTGACTTATTTATCTTTGAATTTCCAGAGAATAGAACATCTTGTACATAAATATTTGTAAATAATGAAGAGTTCTATGATGATCAGGGTCTCATAAATGTTTGTGGGACACTATAACTGTGTTATCCCTAAAAGTTAACTTTGTTCTTAGTTCATTCAAAGAACAGAGGATCAAACACTGTCCTTACATTTGAAGGATATGAGGGCTATACCATGAGGTACATCCTCTGTGTCCCCGTTGTGAACCATCTCAACATGCCAGCGCACTAAGACTTCTCATGGCCTCATCAAATAGCTTCCCAAACCAGGTGCGGGCCTTAAGAGATACCCAAGATAAATGCAATATCACTCTTCTTAGCAGCTTCTATTCTCATCATAAGTCAGTGGGTCAGAAATGAATGAGAGCTAAAGTCTGACAAATGCCTTATGTTTATAAAGGAGATAGCAAAATCCTCAAATATGTAAACAGAACCTTCTTTAATGAAGTAGAACACTTTCTGCTTAAATGAGAGATATATATATATAATACACACACACACACACACACACACACACACACACTATTCACTGAAAGGCCAGGAAGGCAAAAAACAAACAAATAAACAAACAAAGAAAAAAACCTTTGCTGAAATATTTAAGCCGTTTAAAGAAATAGAAAAAACTGCCAAAAGCCTTGACTCAATTCAAATGTGAAGAAATCTATTCCTGCGTAAATATCATAAACATTAAGATTCTTCCTTTGCAATTCATTGTGCCAAATAGACAGGCTTATAAAAATAGGGCAGCATTACTGGTTTCAATAAAATAGACTGTATACAAAGAACAAGCCTACATAATGGATACTCTTTAGTTTTTATCCATTTTGTACTTTATATTCCACACTGCTTCCACTACAGGTGGGAAGATGAGGACAAATCAGTATGTTAAATAACAAGAATAAATGTTACATATAGAAGCTTATAGACAAGAGCAATTACTTCCAGCAGAGAATTATGAAAGAGGTAAAATCTGACCTGGAGAAAAAATGGGAAAGGTTTTGATGGACTCTTTCTAGGCAAAGGATGAGACCCAAGAAAGATAAAAAGAGAAAATATAAGACTTACCAGATATACATGGTCTATCTGTTTGCGGCATAGGGAAATGTTCTGCATGGTACTGAAAAGAACCTGAATCCTAACTGTAGCTTGGCCTGCAGTGGACCTGTAACTCTCTGGGGACAAATGGGATCTACTAGCCCCACTGCTGACCAAATCCATAGGCAATTAGGCTCAACACACAGGAGAGCAGCTACAAGACCACAGTTTCATTCCTAGGCAAGGTAATACACAAATCAGGGGAAGGGCAGAGTCTGTTTGGCAGTACTCAGGGATAAACTCACATAAGTAAATATACTTAACTAATACAGGGTTTCTCATCCTCAGCACTATTGCCATTTGGTCCAGCTAAGTCCATGTGGAAACCTATCCTGTGCACTGTGAGGTGTTGAGCAGCATCCCTGGCCCCCAGTCACTTAAATGCAGTGGCACCCCTCCCTCACTGTGACAACCGAAAATGTCTGAGAGCATTGCCAAATATCCCCTTTGGGGACAAAATTACCCCCGGTTGAAAACCAATGGTCTAACAGTTCCCCTTTTAATGAAATCTAAACCAGAATGGTAAGAATAAAACCTAGGTCAAGCACTATAGGGTGAATGAAGAACATGGACCACAGGTAACAGAATATGGAAAGTCTATTGTGATTCAAATTCCAGCTCTACAAATCCCAGCAACACCACTCTGGGCACCTTACTAAGACTCTTTGAGTCACCCTTTCCTGTAAAATGGCAATACTGAAACCTACCTAATAGGACTACTGAAAGTATTAAAAAGATGAAAACGCATCTGGAACTGACTAGGTACTCAAAAGAGTAGTTTCCTCTGTTAGTATGTTAATGTAACCAGTGGTCCACAGAAAATTTTCAAGAACTTTGAAGAGAATTATACGAGTTATTTCTCCACCAAAATATGGTTTGTTTCAAGAGATGACAGTTACAGTCCTGGCCAGTTTGGCTCTGCAGTTAGAGCTTCAGCCTGTGGACCAAAGAGACCCGGATTCAATTCCGGCCAAGGGCACGTACCCTGGTTGCGGTTTGTCCCCAGTCCCAACTGGGGTGGTGCAGGTGGCAATCAATTGATGTGTCTTTCACACTGATGTCTCTGTCTCTCTCTGTCTGTCTGTCTGTCTGTCTCTCTCTCTCTCTCTCTCCCTCTCCCTCCCACTCTGTCTGAAGATAAATGTAAATATCCTTGGGTGAGTATTTAAAAAAAAACAAAACAAGAGATGACAGTTACTAATAATGGATGCTTCAATGCTTCATAGTAATGAATTACTTAATAGAGCAGAAAAGAATTCAGATGTACTAGCAGTCCTAGCAACAATGTTCTAAAATCTATACTTTTACATATTTCTGTAACACCTCTAAGATGTCTGAAAACCTGAAGGGCAACAGAAATAACCTTTTAAAGGTACCATAACTAGCAACTGAACAATGTCTATTTTTCAGAACCAAGCCAGTGATTCTGAAGAACATTTGAGGTTTGATATCTATGTTATCTTTGACCCAAACACAATTAATTATTACACACACACACAAATTACTGCCCTGATTTATTTGTACCTAGATTATGACTCCTAATGTTAGATTTCACAAAGGCAGTGGTAAGCCTATTGGATTTTCTAATGCAGTACTACCTAATAACCAGAGAGTGGCAGCATTGCATTAAAAAAGCCTCCAGACCCTTACTTCATAACCAAGCTAGACTCCATGTAGTAAACAAAAGTTTTAAACAAATTTAAGTAGCTAAAATAGATACAATCTTTGTAAATTTGGTTAAAGATTAAACATCTATAAAGGAAGGCAGTAAGTTGTTTCAGAGGGTACAAAACTAAAATTAGATAATCCAGAATCCTAGTCCTGTCTGCAGTCACTAGTTAGCTGGAGGTGACCACCAAGCCATGTGACCAGTAAAGGGATAGAACAAGATAATTTCTATGGTTGCATTCCATCTCACATGCTTATGCTTAGATTTCTTCCTCAGACAAAATCAAGTAGATAAAATGGGGCCGGGGGTGTTTTCTCTACATCATTAGCTAACATAACTATCCTAAAAAAGTTTTACAAATTAAAATGTCATCTTTCATGGAAGCTGATAGCTATGCACTAAGGAACAACAAAAGGGAGCAGAGAGTAGACCCTCTCTCTCAGTGAAACTACCAAAGCCACCTCAGACACATGGGTGCTGCTCAAACGTTAACCACAAGAAATCTTCCTCCCACTATTCATTCAGTAGTCAAAGATTCTGCTCAAAATCACAGAAAATAAAAGGCAGAAGTGAACTTAGAGACCACCTGACTCAACTCAAACCACTTGGGTTTGAATCATGGCTTTACAATTTACTAAGCAGTGTGACTATGGCAAATTACTTTTCCAAGCCTCAATTTTCTCATGTAAAGTGAAGAAAAAATAATAGTCTCTAGCTCATTAGGTTGTGAAGAGTAAATAAATGAATATAAAAGAGTAGATTGGCTCTCAATAAATGTTGGCTACTGTTTTACAGATGAAAAGAGGAGACAAGCTATAAATTTGCTTTTCTCCCATTCAAAAGAATGCTAGTAATAATAATAAAAAACTAATCATGTAGTAAATTAAGCAGAAGTATCTTCACTTTTGCAACAATTCGAAAAGCATATTAAGTATTTCTGACAAATATGCCTCATTATTGACTAGTGATATAATTGTACAATTGCATAAAGGTCAAAGTGGTTATAAATGACACATTTTAAACAGAATGTGGTGAGAAGCTTCCTATGTAAAAACACCCTAGGGTATATTTCTGAATACAGAGATGAGCCCACTGGGAAGTAAATAATTTCCTACCATTTTATCTTTACAGGAGAGATTGATTTTGACTGATTCCAGGTGGTTGGAAACCACCAAACAGGAGTGGCTCCAATCTACTTACAGTAGTTTCACAAGAGTGGCTCTGTGCAAAAAAAAGGGGGAGCAGCAGATTCTGGGTTCAATTATGGATTCTTCCACAGCTCTGGCCTGGATTTCTTTGAAATGAGGGATTATATAAATTTAAGGCAATTAAGAATTTAATAAAAGACAAACCTATCCCCACCAGGGTTTAGAAAAAAGCTAGCCTCATGGTGGGTGTTTGGGGGCAGAGGAAGATACCTAGAGTTCTGAATGTCAGCCAATAAGCTACAAATTAATGAATTAAAGTCTGAACTGAAATTAAATTTTCAGAATGAGATAATGCACAAAGGTAAACTAGGGAGAAAGGAAGGCAACCGAGAATGGAAACCAAACAAGAGGCTGCTGTTGAAGGGATATTGGTTCATT